TCAATTTCATTAAGCAAAGGCAACCAAGCCGCTTTAAAAAGGAAATTAAGGTATGTAAACAGTGAAAGTCAGTAATACTAAGTATGTTAAATTTTACAATGTTGTAGCCAAACGCGAGGACTAGAAAGTTCTACAAGTTCCGATAGTAGTGGAAAACGTCGCCGTACAATTGAAGCTATAAAATCAATCCATAGTTACAGGTGAGAATATAAAGCTAACAAACACATATTTATATTTTAATAAATGTTTCACTTATAGTATCTCTCCAAGAAAATTAAAAAGTAAAACTTTGTTCCTACAAGCTCAACAACGACAGTCTAGAAATAGTTATGTACGTGGCAAGCTTAGTAAATTAGCCTTTACGGGCGAGCCGGAATGTTTGCAGAGCGAGCGACGTAGGAACGAGCCCTGTAATCCGGTGAGCCCCAGTATAGGCTAGTTGCAAGCGAGCCGCGTACAACGTTTTACTTCCTCTTGCTGAAAATCCTGAAATGAACAACTTTGGCATCTCTAGAAATTTTACTTGAAATTACAGTCATAGAAATTATAGTCATTTTTCATAGTTTGCTCCGGTAACTATGGAAAATTGAATTGTTTGAAAATAAGGGGACTGTCAATTTGTAAATTCGATTAATAATTTAAATAGTTTAATTTTGTTTCTGAGCTCTGTTAATTGTGGAATTCGATGAAGATGAAGAGTTTGAAGGTGATTTTAACGTTAGTATTAGCACAGTATTAGTGAGATTAAGAAAAAGGCCGACGCAGCGAATGTGTGTTTGATTCCGGTGCTGTCATGACAACGTTTTACAGGCACGGTGCCTGTAAAGCTGCCACGGTAACGCTTTACAGGCAGGGTGCGTGTAAAGGCTAATTTACCGAGTTAGTTCAGACGACAGTAAACGAGCTTTAACAAGACAAGAGGAAGTAAAAGTTTATATACTGCAAGACAAAAAATTAAGAAGTTAAAGGAGACCATTGAAAGTTTACAAACTGTTGTGACAGATTTAAAGCAGCAGGGCTTTATTTCTGATAATGCAGTTGAGCACTTAGGAAATAGTTACGAATCAGTGCCACATTTGTTAATGCGGCGATATTTAAGGAATGTCGGTAAAAAAACAACAACTCATGAAACTTATCCCCCGATAATTATTATAATAAATATTATTCTAATAAAGGGTATATATGTACATCGTAAGTTCGCGCTGGCATTACCAGATCAATCAACCATTAGAAAATGGTGTAGTAATACCGACTGTTTGCCAGGGTATATTCAGCCTGCTTTTGATAATTTGAAAGCAAAAGTATCTGAAAATAAGAAACTTAATCGGGAGTTTATTTGCTCATTAGTTGTTGATGAGATGTCAATTAAACGACAAATCGAATTTGATGGCAAAAAGATGTGGGAGTATATTGATGTGGGATCATCAGTTCAAAAAGATGATATGCAAGCTGCCATTGAAGCGTTTGTCGTGATGGTTGTGGCCCAACAGGCTCACTGGAAGGAACCTGTTGCTTATTTTTAAATGTTTTTTTAAATCGCTTGCATGAAATTGGCGTAATTGTTAGTTGTTTGACTTGTGATGGACCATCAGCCAATTTAAACAATTGGGATGCAACTTTGAAGATGTGCATGACATGCAGACGTGGTTTAAACATCCCAACGATGAAACACAACAAATTTTTTGTGTATTGGATGCATGTCATATGTTAAAATTAACAAGAAATATGTTTGCAAGTTTAGGGGATTTCAAAAATCCTCAAGAAAACCTTATAAGTTGGCAGTATATCAAACGGCTGTATGATATACAAGAACAGCAAACTTTGAGCATTGCAAACAAATTGAAGAGGTCACATTTAGAGTGGTATAAGCAAAAAATGAAGGTGAGAATTTTTCTATAGTGACGTTTTATCAATGTAAAGTTATTTTATTTATTTTATAGGTGAGTTTAGCTGCTCAAACGTTAAGTCGCAGTATTGCTGACGCTTTGGAGTTTTTGGAAAAAGATTTGTATCTCTCAGAATTTCAAGGAAGTGAAAGTACCGTTAGATTTATTAGGACTATTGATTCTTTGTTTGACATATTAAATTCCCGTAATCCCAATGCAGAGGGGTTCAAGGCTCCACTGCGGTTAAGTAATGAAGAGAATTGGCGACCATTTTTATTAGAGACAGTGAATTATTTACTGTATTTAACTGACGTTGGAAATATACCACTTTGGACCACACCTAAGAAAATTCCAATTTTTGGTTTTGTCATCACTGCGTTATCAGTATGTGGAATATTTGACAAATTTGTTAAAACTAACAAATTAAGTTATTTTTTGACCTACAAATGTAGCCAAGATCACCTGGAAATGTTGTTTTCAATGATTCGGTAAGCAATCAATACTGAAAAGGTATCATCATAATAATACTTTGTTTGCAGAAGTAGAAATGGCTGGAACAATAATCCTACTGCGCTGCAGTTTATAAGGACAATTCGAAAATTATTATTGTTTTCGAATATCTCAGGTAAAGGAGGAAACTGTTGAGTGTTGGATACCACCACAGTTCTTACAGTACCAAGCACTTCAACAAAAAAGGACTTCCAAACATTTGACATATCCTTATATAGAAAATATAACTTAGAAGCAACAAATGATCTACTACACGATCATGATTATGACATCACCACTAATTTTATTGAATTAAATGAGGTAGCTTCCAATGTGGTTACATACATTGGTGGTTTTGTCATACGGATGTTGGAAAAGAGTATAAGATGTAGTGATTGTTTGCAGGAATATACTGAAAAAGAACTAGTAGACATGGAAGATCATAATACATACAAATTACTATTTAGAAAAAACAGAGGTATTAGGTAAAATATTTAACAGTGAATCTTGGTCTGTGGTTTGGCAAAATAATACTCCTGGTTCTCCACGGTTTTGTAGGCCGATTAAATACATGTTTGAGAAAGAGAGTGTACATCTAATTAAAAAGGAAACAAACCTCATATATGAACAAATTTCGAATTTAATGCCTACTAAAGTCACCATTAATGATAAAGAAATCACAATTACCCACAAACTATTTTTAACGATGGCAGATGGCAAAGTGTGTAACGCTTTAACAGGAACAAAATCTTCTCAAAGGTGCTACATTTGTGGAGCAACTCCTAAATTGATGAACAATACTGAAGAACGTTTCCCTGAGGACATAAGTAATAGATAACTACAGCTTTGGTTTATCCCCGTTGCACGCCCTGATACGATCTTTTGAATGTTTACTTCATATTGCGTACCGTCTAGATTTTCAGAGGTGGAAGGTCAGAAAAGATAATAAAATGCATGAAAATATTGTAATGGCTGATGACGATGATGATGGTGAAGATGAAGGAGGGTGCGCTAGTGATTATCAGAAAATGAAAAAAAGAAAAAAAATGATACAAGATCAGTTCAAAATTAAATTGGGGCTCAATATGGACAAACCTAAACAAGGCTTTGGTTCTTCCAATGATGGAAATACAGCGAGGTGCTTCTTTCGGAATACAGAAATCTCTTCACAAATTACGGGGATAAGTATAGATTTAATAAAGAGGTTTGGTATACTTTTACAAACTATTGCTTCTGGTTTAGGGATAAATTTGGGCAAATTTGAAACGTTTGTATTGGAAACGAAACAACTTTATTTAGATTTGTACCCGTGGTACCCAATGCCAGTAACTGTGCATAAATTATTATGTCACAGCAGAGAAATAATTAAATATCATTTAGTTCCTATCGGGATGCTAACAGAAGAATCCCAAGAAGCTCGTAACAAACACCTGAGTACTATCAGGTTGCACCACACACAAAAAAAGTCACGCACCTCAACTAATCAAGACCTAATCAATATACTAATGGTGTCATCTGATCCTGTGATTGCTAGTTCAAGACGTTCTTCTCTACAAAAAATAAGCAAACTTGATTCAGAAGTTGTCGAAATGTTGGAGTGCAGTCTAACTGATGCGTCAACGCCCATGTCCGAATTATCATTGAATGACACAGGTTATGGCAATGATGACATGCCATAACGATGCAGACAGTAATTTGTAACCCAATTTTCATCCTTCTTGTGCATCATCAATTCACTTGATCAGCTTTCAGCTGCATTATTATTTTTATTATTGGTAGTTTTTCTTATTGTTCACCGGGTGAGTGCTTTTTTTCATTTGTTCATTAGATATGCTAATTTTCTTTGCCGTTTTTCTATTTTATTTCGTATATTTCCACATTGAATTAACTTTTTGTAGCAACTTGTTAAATAATAAATAAATAATAATAATAATGAGTAAATCATTAATTTAATGCTTATTGTTTAATAAATAGGGTGGGTGCACCAGTGCCACACCAGGAACCAGTAGTACACCATTTCAAACTTCACATCAAAATATTAACCTTCTGTCGAATTTCTCGACACTTTTTTTACGTTTGATAGCACTGCCATAGTTCTACCAATCATTTAGTCGCAAATAAGTGCGATAAACACGCCATCTACATCATCAAACAACATATGTTTCGAAACGACAGTCGTTCACTTCGTTCCGGGCGGCCATATTAGTAAGCGACACTCCAACAGTAAGTTTTTTTAATCTTTTTAAATCTTTGTTTATATCGATCGTTGTAACTTATTTTTAAATTAATTGAGTAACATGATGTGTAAAGCAATAATAGTACCTCTTATTTCATCAAAAAATGCTAATTTAAATAAATAGCTGTCATTGGTAAACTAATGGAACACGGATTCAATGATGTTCCAGTAATATTCCATTTGGTCTACAACTGGTGATTTTGCTTTTTGATATATTTTTTATTTTTTCTTTTACATTATTATTTACTTAATATACTGCAATCAATTATTATAAAAAACTCTTAAAATATCCACAATGTTCCTATTGTAGACCAGTGGTTTACTACTGGTAATATCTATACTATGAGTTCGTTCCAGTAATTGACCACCTACATTTTTTTATAAACACAATGCCGCCGAAAAGAACGTTTTTCAATTATCAGGAGGAAGATGTCTTTAAAGCGATAGACGAGATAAGCAAGGGCGCAAAAATTAGAGAAACGTGCCGAAAATATAATATTCCCCACACTACCGTCATAAATAAAATGAAACTGAAGTATCCTGTCCAACGAAAAATGGGACCTCCCACTATGTTGACCAAGGAAGAAGAATCGTTGCTTAAAAGTTCGATAATAGCGATGGCAAAAAAAGGATTTCCAGTCAATAAAGAAATGGTAGTTGACACTGTTAAGAAAATTATAACTGAAGAGAATCGACCAAGTCCCTTTAAACAGAATACTCCAGGCAGAAAATGGTTTTCCGGTTTTTTAAAACGACATCCAGATATAGCTGCACGTCATGCGGAATCTATAAACATTTCAAGAAGTCTGGTAACAGAAAATGCTCTGAGAAAATGGCACGCAAATTGAAAAGAATACCTAATCGCTGAAGGCGTAGCTGACATTTTAGAAGATCCTGAAAGGATCATAAATGCAGATGAATCCGGATTTCAAACAAGCCGTTCTTCTGGTTTAGTGTTGGGTCCGCGAGGATTTAAAAATTTTTATGAAATCAAAGAAAAAGAGAAGGAGAACATAACCGTACTGGGAACCTTTGCAGCATCTGGTACCATATTACCACCCTTGATTATATACCCATATGCACGAATTCCATCTGAAATCGTTAGACAAATTAATAAAGAATGGAGCGTTGGTAAGTCAGAAAAGGGATGGATGACATCAAAAGTTTTTTACGGCTATATAGCAAATACTCTCATCCCAAAATTAAAAGAAAACAATACAAAGTTTCCTGTTTTGTTGCTGATAGATGGCCACAAGTCTCACATTAATCGAGAAGTGTCTCAATTGTGTAAAGATAATGGTATTATTTTATATTCACTCTATCCGAACGCTACACACATCATTCAACCAGCTGACGTATCTGTTTTTCGACCACTGAAGAATTCTTGGAAGAAAGTTGTTAATGATTGGAAATTAAAAACTGGGCATCGATGCGTTACCAAAGCTCTATTTGCACCCCTTTTAGAAGCCACATTCAATGATCTCTCAAAAGAAGTCATCTGCAATGGTTTTAGAAAATGTGGACTGTATCCGTTCGATGCTAACGCAATTAGCTACGAAAAATGTATGACTGATGCTACTCGACACGGCATACCAGAGAAACCAGCTGTTATTGGTCCTGAACATTTATTGTATTTGGAATTATTGATGTCTTCCTCCCGTGGTCGAGAATTCCGTGCAAACCAAGATTCTTCCTGGACTGGCGACGAATCAGCAAAGGAGTTGTTTTATGTGTGGCAGAAAATAGCCAAGAGAGTAATGCAAGTAGCAGAGGAACAAGAGCCTAACTTGGAAATCAATCCACAGACACCGCAAGAAACTCTACAGACAATGCAAGAAAATATACCCACTTTGGAAGAAAATGTTACACCACGTGAAAACGACATTAATTTGGAAGAAAATCACCAAATAACAACAGAACAAATAAACGAGGATTTTAATAGCAATGTTGACTATTTAAATATTAGAACGCCATCTCAACCTGAATCTTCAGTCATTATTAACACAAAGCACATCGAGTTAGAATCTCCTTCTACGAGAAAACATCTTCAACCAATAAGCCCTGCATTTGCATCAGCAATTGTGTGGCCCTCTGAATCTCCAGTTAAAGGCAATCAGAAAAGGCGTAAGAAAGTTCGCCTACCTGATGCAGTAAATAGCGGCGAATGGATGCAATATTGGAATGAAAAAGAAGACATTAAGAAAAAACAAGAAGAAAAAAAAGCTCTTAAGGCAGCTAATAGAAAAATGTCAACGAAGAATAAAAAAAAAGGACACAGGTTCAGACGAAGAAATACCAGCAGCTCCGAGAAAGATGAGACGACTTCGAATATATTCAGACTCTGATGATGATAATGTACCTTTAATTGTACATAAATTTTTGGAGGTCACTGCAAAACCAAAGAAAGGCGATTACGTGATTGTCAGGTATGAAGGAGAATATTTTCCAGGGACTGTAGAGAATATTGATGGTGATCTATATGAGATAAGTACTATGATATTTTCTGCTGGAAATACTTTTCGTTGGCCAGAAAAATGTGTTAAAATCTGGTATCTGAAAGATGCGATAGAAGAGAAGATCGCAGTTCCGACCTTGGTTAATAGTCGAGGTTTTTATAGAATTCCTGAAATGGATAAATTTATGCCAAAAATGTAATTGTTTTTTTAATTTTTCTATAAGTACTTACATTGTTTTCTTTTTATTTCATATTTTTTGATTCATGTTAATTCATAAATACTTTATTGCAAGTTATGATTGTGATACTTGTGTAAGTGATATTGATCTCTTAATAATTATCTAGTTATTAAATTAGTTAGACAACATTATAAGCCTTGTAGTATTTAAGTATTACTTAAAACTTGTAGACTGATGAAAAATTGTGATGATTATTAAGTACTAAACTTGTTAGTATTAACAATAAAAATTTTCTTCATTAAAAGCAATCATTTTATTTACTGGTTTACTATTGGCATAATGTCTGGTCTATTACTGGTACAATCTGGTGAACCTTAGGCACATCACGACTTTCCACATTAATTTTTAAATAAAACAAAACCTAACAGCTATTAAGAAAATCGGAGTAAGCTATATAATTCTATGGTATACAAGGAGTACATTATTCTTTTCATGTAATGATTGTTGTGATAATTGAGTCACAGCATCAAAATTACTTTCAAAATGTCGCTTAATCGGTTTGCTACTGGTACATCCACCCTAATAACATTTTAACATGTTTACATGATATTGATTATAATGTTGTTGCTTGCACATCTGACTGTGGAGGAGGTAATCAGGGACTTTGGAAAGAATTAAATCTAAGCATTGAAAACTCCAGTATCTTACATCCAAGCACTCAAAAACCTGTTTATTTCTTTGCTGATGTTCCCCACCTATTGAAGTTAGTGAGAAATTGGTTCCTAAATACAGGCTTTATTTTAAAAGATGGAACTTTAATTAATGTGGAGCCAGTGAGAGCACTTGTTGATGCCACAAGTAGCGAGATAAGTTCTTGTCACAAACTTAAGTCAACACACGTCACCTGTGAGAAAACACAGCGACAAAAAGTAAGGTTGGCAGCCGAGGTGATTTCAAACACAACAGCGACGGCGGTGAAACGTATTTACCTGGTTCGAATAAAATATTGGCCAGAGATGTTGGAGAATTTATTGAACTGTTTGCATTCATATATGATGCCATCTTGGATAGAGAGCCTGTCATTTGGAGGACTAATACAACCCTCAGAAATTTGGATGCATCAAGTGGAGGCGATGGAAAAATATTTCCAACGTTTCCGTAAAAACGATATAGTGAAAGGCAAAAACATTACCAACAACACAGCTATGTATATTAAAAAAAAAGTTTATAATTTGATGATTCCAGACAAGTTGGTTAAAGCTTTTGCTCGTCAAAGGATCTTTATTAGGATCAAATTTTTAAATTTTCGAAAAGAGGAAGCTAAACTGCGGAAACGGAAGCATGCGTTAGCAGGTACATCTACAAAAACAGTAAAAAAAAATTAAGAAAATTCTAAATTAAAACGTCTTTTCGTTTATCGTAGTTTTATTGTTATTATTTTAAACCCACCATTTACCCAAATAAACGACCGGCATTCAAGTAAGATTTGCACTATTACCTGTAACAACACTAACGATACCAATAATTTATTCTAATATAATTTCATGTGTTGATTTAAAAAGATCACAAGTTGCTTAATAGATATTTACATAAAAGTCAGGAAAATGTCTCATTACTGAAGAGGAGCTATGTTGAAATACGAGGCACTTTGTGCCGAGTATTTTAAAGCTCCGAGTCAAATAAGACATTTTACTGACGAGTTTTGTATTAAATTTTTCCGGAAATCGCAATAAATCGCTAAAAATCGATATTTTCCAACAAGTTTTTTAATTAATTGCGCAAAAATCTAGTTTGTCAATTTCTTGAAAACGATGGTTACAAACAAAACAATTATAAAATTTTGTGCGTACGTCAGAGCTGTGTGTTTATTTCATTAATTAATTATGAATACAAGCGAAAACACTGGTGAGGATGTTCCTTTTGACCTAAGCAAAGCAGCCGCTGCTGCTACAGAAGAATTGTTACCGTCGAAATCTAAGGAGCGGTATGAAAAGCAGTTCCAAATCTTTGAAGATTGGCGCAGGCTTAAAAATGTTACTTCGCTAACGGAAGACGTATTTCTGGCTTATTTTGCGGAAAAATCAAGTTCTTATAAGGCTTCAAGCCTCTGGAGCACTTACTCTATGTTGAAAGCCGTGCTTTTGTTGAAGGAAAATTTGGATATCAGCAAGTTTTGTAAGGTAACTGCTTACCTAAAACGAAAATCGACTGGTTACCAACCAAAAAAATCGAAATGTTTGTCTCGGGACCAGATAGATAAATTTCTGCTTGAAGCTCCCGACAAGGAATTTTTATTAATGAAAGTAAGTTATTACAATGATTACATATTTAAGTTTTATTAAATTTGGTAATTTCAGGTGGCGCTTATTTTTAGGGTGTCTGGAGCCTGTCGATGCGACGAATTATCAAGGATGTTAGTTGACGACATTGAAGATCAAAATAACGTGCTAATAGTACACATTCCTGATTCTAAAACAAAAAAACCTCGACGCTTTGTAGTTGTTGATGAAAGAAATCTTGCTACATACAGACGTTATTTGGAATTACGTCCGCCTAGTACTCCACACAAGCGCTTATTTTTAAATTACAAGAAAGGGAAATGTACGGTCCAACCAGTGGGCTTGCATTCATTTGGTAAATTTCCTTCTCAAATTGCTACCTACCTTGGTCTACCAACACCTCTGGAATACACAGGACATTGTATGCGGCGCAGTTCCGCGACTTTACTAGTAGACGCAGGAGGAGATATTACCAACTTAAAAAGGCATGGAGGATGGCAAAGCAGTTCAGTAGCAGAAGGATACATAGATGAGTCCATCGAAAATAAATTAGATATAGCTAATAAAATACAAGCTGGTCCGAAAAAAAGACCCTTCACTAATATCGAGACGTGTCCCTCTACAAGTAGTGATTCATCTGAAATCTGTTGCACCGAAATCTCGACTGAAATTTTTGATAAAAAGGTTAAACTTGATCATAAATCTTTGTCTGGAATTAACATTGCAAATATATCGAATTCTACAATTAATGTTAATATCTGTAAATAGTGTAATTTACGAAATTTTGAATAAATTTTTCTTGTTTAAATAACTAATTATTTTGCGTCATTTTTGTAGTTTTTACAGTACTAGTCAGGGAAATCCAATTTTCCTGCGCCTAATGTCGCAAGGAAATGCTGTTTCAATGACGATTTCCGGAAAAAAATATGTTGAAGTAGACACGACAAGTTGATACTGTATTTTTTTGTTTGTTTCAGCGATAATCTGTTGCAAATAATATGTACAACATTTGTTTTAATAATAATTTATTCAGTTTTATGTTTGAACACGGTTTAGATAATATGTCAAAGCAATCAATGGCTTGTTGAGCAGTTTCGACGAGTGTTTCAAGAAAATTTGCATTTTTATTTTCAATCTTTAAAAGCAAAATTAAAATTTTGAAAGATTTCGGGAAATTATGACAGATTCATTAGTATCATTAGACTTACCTGATCAACATCTGCAACAGCAAGTGGGAACTTCCTAGACAATCCTTTGGACATGTTTTCGTTTCACCGTGAAGAGCACATGGAATATGAAACCACTCATCACAAACACCACCACACAATACATAACAAATGCAGCCTTATCGACACCAACTGCCATTACACAATTGTTGCAGAGTACACAGCACGTTGAAAAACTAGTCCGAAAATATGTAAACACAAATCAGCTGATCGCAGCGAGCGCAGCTACTGACCCACATGGTGTTCGGCACTAGAATTAAATAGATACATACACGAACTTCGACAGTTTAAAAAATTAAAATTAAAATTTGACAAATTGTAAACTGACAAAATAACTGCTTGTTGTACACTGCATAGTGATATATTCACCTTTAATAATAAAAGTGGCAAGTAAATGCCACATTTGTTCACGAAACCGACTCGAGCAGTAACCATTAGCACAGACACAAAACAGTAATCAACATCAAACCATGCTTGATACTTGTTGTTTGTTTGTTTGTTTGTTGGTTAGGTTAGAACACAGAACATAGATTATACAGATGCGACACGGCTTCTCACCACGCAAACGAATGTGATCCTTAATTCAAGAATCGAAACAGACGGGTTTTGATTCCGTGCCAATGAACCCATTAAAACCACACTAAACAGGTAGATTTTTTACAAAAGGCACTTCTCACCTTCGAAAGCTGTGCAATGCAAATGCCTTCTTGTGTCAGAAAAAAATATTTAGTGATCGTCCTATTTGTTGCGCCACAGATTAAGGATATCTATGGTTGCGCAACATGTAGGCAACCAACTAGACAGGCGATATAACTCGCACGAATTCTAATTACTAATAAATGATCCACGGAGCAAGAAGTTCCACGTTTAGGAGTATGCTTATAAAAAGTCGATATTCCACCTACTCGTGTTGGTGACTATAAAAAGTTAGGTTATGCTCGCAACAGCTGCCATTAAAAAGTGCACGAATTCAATTGGATATTTAACAATTTTTTTGTGGCACAAGGAAGCATTTGCATATTTGAAGGTGAGGAACGTGATCAAAGGGTGTTGTAGAAGAGTTTTGTGCAAACAGTTTTACGAACTCGAGAAGTGCCTTTTGTAAAATTTTAACTAAATACATACCCTACTTATTTACTACGTAGGTATAGGTACGTAAATATCTATCCTGGGATAAAACTAGGGTAGTGTTTAAAAATTTAGGAA